AGATACCCTGAACAGACCAGTAACAGTGAGATTTAAATGGTAATTAAGAAATTACCAACAAAAAAGAAGTCCAGGTCCAGATGGATTCACAGCAGAACTCTACCAGACATTCAAAGAAGAATTGGTACCAATCCTTTTGACAGAATTCCACAAGATAGAGAAGGAAGGAACCCTTCCCAACTCATTCTATGAAGCCAGCATCACCCTAATACCAAATCCAGGAAAGGACATAACCAAAAAAGAAAACTACAGACCGATATCCTTGACAAACATAGACACTAAAATCCTTGACAAAATACTAGCTAACTGAATCCAACAACATATCAAAAAGATAAACCACCATGATCAAGTGGGTTTTATACCAGGGACACAGGGATGGTTTAACATATGCAAGTCAGTAAATGTGATACAACACATAAACAGAATTAAAAGCAAAAATCACATGATCATTTCAGTAGATGGAGGAGAAAAAGCATTAGGCAAAATCCAGCATCCCTTTATGATTAAAACTCTCAGCAAAATCTTCATACAAGGGGCATACCTTAACATAATAAAAGCCATCTATGACAAACCCACATCCAATGTGATGCTGAATGGGGAAAAGTTGAAAGCATTCCCTCTGAGAACTAGAACAAGACAAGGATGCCCACTCTGACCACTTCTCTTCAACATAGCGCTGGAAGTCCTATCCAGAGTAATGAGACAAGAGAAAGAAATAAAGGGCATCCAGGCTGAGCATGGTGGCTCATGCCTGTAATCCCAGCATTTTGGGAGGCCAAGGCCGGTGGATCATGAGGTCAGGAGATCAAGACCATCCTGGCTAACATGGTGAAAACCCGTCTCTACTAAAAATACAAAAAACTAGCCGGGTGTGGTGGCGGGCACTTGTAGTCCCAGCTACTCGGGAGGCTGAGGCAGGAGAATGGCTGGAACCCAGGAGGCGGAGCTTGCAGTGAGCTGAGATCGCACCACTGCACTCCAGCCTGGGCAACAGAGCAAGGCTCCATCTCAAAAAAAAAAAAAAAAGAAATAAAGAGCATTCAAATCAGTAAAGAGGAAGTCAGACTGTTACTGATTGCTGATATGATTGTTTACCTTGAAAACCCTAAGGATTCCTCCAGAAAGCTCCTAGAACAGATAAAATATTGGGGGAACCCGCCCGCCCCAATATTTCAAGGTAGATTCTTTCTATTTTACATAAGTGTTGGCCGGCTGAGAAGTAAAGAGAGTACAAAGAGAAGAATTTTACAGCTGGGCCGCCGGGGGTGACATCACTTATCGGTAGGACCATGATGCCCGCCTGAGTCTCAGATCAGCAAGTTTTTATTAAGGGTTTCAAAAGGGGAGGGAGTATAAGAACAGGGAGTAGGTACAAAGATCACATGCTTCAAGGGCAAAAAGCAGAACTACTAATAAGGGTCTAACAAAGATCACATACTTCTGAGGGAACAGGACAAAGGGGAAAAGCAGAACTACTGATAAGGGTCTATGTTCAGTGGTGCACGTATTGTCTTGATAAACATCTTAAACAACAGAAAACAGGGTTCGAGAGCAGAGAACCGGTCTGACCACAAATTTACCAGGGCGGAGTTTTTCCCCACCCTAGTAAGCCTGAGGGTTCTGCAGGAGACCAGGGCATATCTCAGTCCTTATCTCAAGCGCGTAAGACAGACATTCCCAGAGCAGCCATTTATAGACCTCCCCCTTGGAGCGCATTCGTTTTCCAGGGTATTAATATTAATATTCCTTGCTAGGAAAATAATTTAGCGATATCTTTCCTACTTCCACATCCGTTTATAGGCTCTCTGCAAGAAGAAAAATATGGCTGTTTTTGCCCGACCCCATGGGCAGTTAGACCTTATGGTTGTCTTCCCTTGTTCCATAAAAATCGCCGTTATTCTGTTCCTTTTTAAGGTGCACTGATTTCATATTGTTCAAACACACATTTTACAATCTATTTGTACAGTTAACACAATTATCACAGTGGTCCTGAGGTGATGTACATCCTCAGCTTACGAAGATAACAGGATTAAGAGATTAAAGTAAAGACAGGCATAAGGAATTATAAAAGTATTATTTGGGAACTGATAAATGTCCATATTAACATGAAATATTCACAATTTATGTTCCTCTGCCATGGCTCCAGCCGGTCCCTCCATTTGGGGTCCCTGACTTCCCACAACATTAAAAAAATTCAGCAAGGTTTCTGGATACAAGTTTAATGTACACAAATCAGTAGCTTTTCTATACACCAGCAGCAACCAAGCAGATAATAAAATCAAGAACTCAACCCCTTTTATAATAGCTGGAAAAAAAAAAAAAAAGAATATACCTAACCAAGGAGTCAAGGACTTCTACAAGGAAAACTACAAAACACTGTTGAAAGAAATCATAGACAACACAAACAAATGGAAATAAATCCCATGCTCATGGATGGGTAGACTCAATATTGTGAAAATGACCATACTGCCAAAAGCAATCTACAAATTCCCCATTGAAATATCACCATCATTCTTCACAGAATTAGAAAAAACAGTTCTTTTTTTTTTTGAGATGGAGTCTTGCTCTGTCATCCAGGCTGGAGTGCAGTGGCGTGATCTCGGCTCACTGCAAGCTCCGCCTCCTGGGTTCATGCCATTCTCCTGCCTCAGCCTCCCGAGTAGCTGGGACTACAGGCGCCTGCAACCACACCTGGCTAGTTTTTTGTATTTTTGGTAGAGACGGGGTTTCACTGTGTTAGCCAGGATGGTCTCGATCTCCTGACCTTGTGATCCGTCTGCCTCGGCCTCCCAAAGTGCAGGGATTATACAGGCATGAGCCACCACACCCGGCCTAGAAAAAATAATTCTAAAATTCATTTGGAACCAAAAAAGAGCCCGCATAGCCAAAGCAAGAGTAAGCAAAAAAACAAAACAAAACAAAACAAAAAACAAATGTGGAGGCATCACACTACCTGATTTCAAACTATACTATGAGGCCATAGTCACCAAAACAGCATGGTACAGCTACAAAAATAGGCACATAGGTAATGGGACAGAATAGAGAACCCAGAAATAAACCCAAATACTTCCAGCCAAATGATCTTTGACAAAGCAAAGAAAAACATAAAGTGGGGGAAAGGACACCCTTTTCAACAAATGGTGCTGGGACAATTGACTAGCCACATGTAGGATTCTCATCTCTCACCTTATACAAAAATCAGCTCCAGATGGATTAAGGATTTAAACCTAAGACCTGAAACTATAAAAATTCTAGAAGATAACATTGGAAAAACCCTTCTAGACGTGGGCTTAGGCAAGGATTTAATGAACAGGAACCCAAAAGCAAATGCAATAAAACAAAGATAAATAGCTGGAACCTAATTAAACTAAGGAGCTTTTAGTTTGCATGGCAAAAGGAACAGTCAGCAGAGTAAACAAACAACCCACAGAGTGAGAGAAAATTTTCATAATCTGTACATCTGACAAAGGACTAATATCCAGAATCTACAATGAACTCAAATCAGTAAGAAAAACAATCCCATCAAAAAGTGGGCTAAGGACATGAATAGGCAATTCTCAAAAGAAGATAAAAAATGGCCAACAAAAATAAAAAATGCCCAACATCACTAATGATCAGGGAAATGAAAATCATCAAAACCACAATGCAATACCACCCCACTCCTGCAAGAATGGCCATAATCGAAAAATCAAAAAACAGTAGATGTTGGCATGGATGCAGTGAAGAAGGAACACTTCTACACTGCTCTTGGGAATGTAAACTAGTACAGATGCTATGGCAAACAGTGTGGAGATTCCTTAAAGAACTAAAAGTAGAACTACCTTTTGATCCAGCAGTCCCAGAGGAAAAGAAGTCATTAGTCGAAAAAGATACTTGCACACGCATGTTTATAGCAGCACGATTCACAATTGCAAAATCATGGAAACAACCCAAATACCCATCAATCAATGAGTAAAGAAACTGCTTGTGCTCCCCCTCATATATATAATATATCTATCATAGAATACTATGCAGACATAAAAAGGAATGAATTAACAGCATTTGCAGTGACCTGGATGAGATTGAAAACTATTATTCTAAGTGAAGTAACTCACGAATGGAAAACCAGACATTGTGTGTTCTCACTGATATGTGGGAGCTATGCTATGAGGACACAAATGCATAAGAATGATGCGATGGACTTTGGGGACTTGGGGGGAAGAGTGGGAGGGGGGCGAGGGATAGAAGACTACAAATATATATGGTGTAGTGTATACTGCTCGGGTAATGGATGCACCAAAATCTCACAAATCACCACTAAAGAACTTACTCGTGACCAAATACCACCTGTACCCCAATAACTTGTAGAAAAATAAAAAATAAAAGTAAAAAAATTATGTATTCATTTAGGTATTTGCTATTTTCAGTCTTCTCAACTGGTGTATTAGCTCCACAAGGGCAGTAACACGTCTTTTACGTTCATCACTGTGTCTCTTGCCTGTGATGTCTAGTTCAGTAAAGGAGGTGAATAAATAAATGAGTGTATACCACATGAAAAAAGATTATAGTGCAAACAGTTAAATAGCCCCAGAAATAAGTATAACTGATAGAGAGGACATTGAGGAGACAGGTTGAAGGGAATGAAGGGTCTATGTTAAATAAATTCCTAAATATTTATTCTAGCAAAGTGAGTTGTCAATCACAAATTTTTATCTGAGTATCCTGTCAATTATGATGTGTTTATTTTAAAGCTTTTACTCACATTTATAACTATATTTATTTTTGTGTTAGTAAAAGAAGCTTTCCAAATTATGCTTAATGATATCTGAGTATTACTAGCTTTGTTTTCTTATCTCTTTTTAATTAGATAAATTATATCAAATGAACTACAATTATGTCTCATCACCATATTTGTAATTCATTTGTTAAATGCTAACTATGTATCTGGTACTTTATAGGTATCATCTCATTTAATTTTTACAGCAGCCATAAGAAGGAAATGGTCATATCTCATTTTACAGATCAGAACACTGAGGCTCAGAGAAGTTAACTACTCCAAAGTCATATAGCCAGTATTTTCTGGAGCTGGAATTCAAATCAGATGTGTTCAATACCTTCTACTACCCCATTGCTGTCTTTATGGTGAGTTATTTTAGTACACATTAAGAAATACATGAAATATGATTGGTATAGATATAGTATTTCTATTTTCTTTATTAGGCAGTTAGGAAACATTTAACTCAGAATTTTAAAGCTGAGAAACTTTTTTCTGAGTAAATCAGAAAGGATGTATTCTTCAACTATTTTTCTAAATGAAGCATTAGAAAAGGATGAAATATTTTGACATACAGAAAGGCATACAGACTAGTATAATAACATCTTTGTTATTACCACTTATCTTGAAATAAAATCTTACTGGTACAGTTGAAAGGCCCTTGTGCATTCCTCCCCAGGGTCATTTTCCTCTCTCTTCCTCGGTGGTAACTGCGATATCAACTTGATCCTACCCTTGCAGCTTGTGTATCTTGGCGATAATCTGGTGGCTGAGTGCTGAATGGGTATGTGGCACAATGGCAATTAATGTTATTCTTTTTCCTGAATAAACTTACCTTATTTATTTGCTTTTTTTTTGTTTGCTACTCTTCCTGGTTGACTTCAGATTTGTAACAGATTGGAGCCATGACACTTTGAATTCTCCCCATCATACCGTATACCGTGAGAAAGGATTGAAAATATGTAAGTTTCAGAGCCTATATCTTTGGGATGAAAGATCGGTTCATTAGTTGGTGTTTTTAATCCCATTATGATCTGAAGTCAAATTAGAATGAAGAGCCTTAATACAAATAATCTTGAGTACCTCATGACTTTTAAAAAATATCTAAAGATGAGTGGGTTAGGCTCAAATTCTGATCAAATTTCAGATGGATGAGCACATTCTGTGTTTCCAACATTTTCCTCGGATTTTAAAAGTTAAGTATAGTATTCCTAACTTTGTATGATCTATGCATAAGAGTGTCTTGTGAAAGATTCCCAACAGGTTTAGAGTGTAGTTTAGACTTGGTTACATGAGAGGTCTTCCTTCACACTCGCCAAATCTAAGGGAAAAGGCTTCCTCAAGTTGGCAAAGAATTGAAATAGACTTCTTCAAAAAGGCAGAAAGACAAAAACAAAAAATAAGGACAATATGTTGCTAATTAAGATGCACAATGAAGTGTTACTGGTTCAGTGTAATTGATTTATATGAAACAGATTTTTAGGGAATGATAGAAAAGAGGAAAATAGGTAATAAAATGAAGGAGAAGCAAGAATTGTGATTGTGGTACAGATCGGGGACTGGGGCTAAGAAGCTACTCTTGGGAATAAATGCCTGACACACAAAAATATCTTGGAAAGATGATAGTGAATGACTAAAAAATACCAAAGACTGGTTTTTAGTATCTGTTACATAGTGAGTACTCATTACTTAATTGATGATTGACTGATAAAATCTCATCAATGAAAAGCACATGTTCATGTATGAAGATACATAATAACTTGTCTGCATACTATTTTATTAAAGAATTTCTTTTTTAAAGTTAATCCAGATGGTTATATTTTTGTCATCTTAAAAGTATTTTTTTCTGTTATGCAAGAAGAATGATTTTAAAAATGTATGTGAAGACTCCTGCTAAAGTTCAAGTGACCAAATATTGTGCATAAATTCTTTATTTCTTTCATAAAACTAATTTTGTTGAATTTTCCATAAAAAGTGCAACGACTAAACATTCTTGTGATAGCTTCTTTGTGAATGTGTCACTGTTCTTGATTTGCACACGCCTTATAATTTAGGCTTTCTTTTGTTTTGGGCTGGCAGCTCCAACTGTTAAAGCTCTTGTCTGATTATGTGGAACTCCATTTTAATAGGAGCAGCTTCTTTGCTGCATTTTTAAAAAATGGTCTTGGAAGCTTCTTACTTCCGAGAAGTGGATCTTTGTTGCGGACAAAGGATTATTTATGCTAAAGGAAAATGTATTCCCCACTGAATTAGCTCGTGGGAAGCATAACAAGCTCATTAGGAATGCTCACTTGTACTTTGGCCTTTTGCTGTGGTGGAGAGAAGGGAAAATGACATCAAAAAGGACATTCTGTTGTCTTTTGCCTTCCTGCAAAGAAAATGTATTATAATGTTAGGCTTTTCAGTATGGTTTAGCTCAGGTTCAACTCTGGTACTAGAAGAATGTTCCTGAAAGGAAAGTGGTATGTATAGCTGACACTGTGCATGAGGTATGTCTGATATAACTTAGAGGAAAAAATAACTTTTTCTTGGAAAGTAATAGCATTAGCTTTGTAATTATTGTATATTTTTTCTTAAAATATTTTAAAGGTGGTTTGTAATAAAAATAGACTAGCTTATTATGCTGCTATGAGCAATAAAAAATCCTAGGTTTTTATAGTCTATACTGTTGAATGTTTTTAAACTCTTCACTTTTATCCCTTTGAAAATATAGGAAAGAATTGTATTTACCTAATTCAATGAATTAAAGTATTTTTTTCCATGTAGATTTCAAGAATACTACTTTGGAGCTAAAATTGCTGTTTCTTTTTTGTCTTTGGAAAATTATTATGGGGAGGCATTGAGCATTTTCATTCACAGTTAAGATTGATGTTTATCTTTATTAGCAGAATAAGCTTATAGTCAAGTTTGTGAATTTATGCAAAGTCCATATGACCTGTTAGGATTTTGATGACAATCAGATAAAGGACAATTTCAATATCAGTTGTTGTAACATTTATATTTACATTATGTTCACAGGGGAAAATAAAATTCTGGGAGATTTTTTATGAGCTAAGTTTTGTTGTTGATTTTTTTTTCAAAACTGTCCAGATGGTTCAAGAATTACTTTGATGCTAATGCCAGAAAATACATATTATATTAAAGTCTGTTTCAGGTTTTCCTTTTTCAAATGAGTAGTCCTTTATGAAGTAAAAAGCAAGGAGTGATACGAATTCGCTTATAGTCAGACTATTCTAACTAGAAGAGAAAGTTTTGTATTTGCAGTCGAGTAAACACATTCCTAAATCTTGTAATTTGGGGGTTTGGGGGAGTAGCAAAACTGCCACTGTTAACTGTATGTTAATATTTTGTTCTTTTTTCAGAAAAGAAATTTCATTTCAACATAGGTGACTATGCAGCCTGCAATTCAAGTAAGTTTTTTTCTTGGAAAAATATTTAAATTATGAGATTAATATAATTGAACTATAATAATTAGCAAACATAAAATTATCACAAAGTGTTCTTACTGTGCTAGTTTTTTTAAGCATCACATTTTAATAACAGAAATACTATATTTTAACTTTTTAGTTCTCAAAAACTTAATTCTAAGCTTTTGTTTATACTGAATATTTGTAAAATTCAAAATTACCTTAGGGTTATCTCTTCTTGGCCTTTTGGCTAAGAACAAGTGTAAAAATACCTTAGGGTTGGTAGGTCTGTGTTATTTATACCACTGTGGGAAAAGAGGTGGAATATTTTGTGGTTTTCCCCTCATTACAATTTAGTATGTATTTACAGTTAAAAGAGCTTTCAGTGAAAACAAATATATGTTTTCAAATTTCAGATAGTTGTTCATGTGCTCTATAAATGCCTGTATATGACTGGCCATTAAAGTTTTAAAGAATGTTTTTTTTTGTTTTTTTGTTTTGTTTTTTTTTTTCTGTGGAGGGGTGCAAGCTGGGTGGTGTAATGAGACAACCAGAATTGCCTTATATTTGAATGATTTCCAGAGTTGGTGTTTGCTATATTATTCTTACTTTTTAGGTTTTCTTTATTTTGTATAAATAGAACATGATTGAATATTAACTTAAAAATAAAAGTCACATTGAAGGTCTGCCTGGAAAGAAGCAAGCAACTGATAATAAAATTTCCTTTGGGAAGTAAAACTTGGCATCAGTTAGATTTCAGTTCTGATCCTAGTTCTGCCCCCTTGATTCCAAGATTCTGGCAAGTTATCTTACTTCCGAGTCTCTGCTTCCTTACCTCTATGGTGAGGATAACAGTGATTAATTTGCAGGATAGATGTGAGGAATCAATGAGATAACATGTGCAAAGGGACTGTTAGAATATATATTGCCTGTAAGCACGTCAGAAGTTTGGTTGTATCCTTGGTATGATACAGTTTTCCAGATATAAACCTGGAGATAGTACCTGTGTCATAAAAGTCAGTCAGTCTTTCCTCCTCCTCATCTTTCTTCTCTTCTCTCCTTTCCTTTCTCTTGTCAACATAACAGTGGATGACAGCCTAGAGAAGAGAATTTATCAAATGGTGAAGAACAGCCCTGCATGTGACCCTGTTGTCCACCTTCCTATACTCTGCAGCTATAATCTCCTACTCTACTAATAGAGTTCCATCATACTTTTCCTTTTGGGACTGGGGAGTCCATGACTGTCTCTCAAAAGGTCTTATTCTTCCCCTTTGGGTCCTCTCACATCCACTGGCATTTGCTCAGAACTCTGTTATTACTCAAAATCATTTGTGAGCTGATTACTTCTGTTCATCCCCTTTTTATCCAAGTCTCAGGAATGTCATTAGTTTCTTATCATTTATTTTCTTGATTCCTTATAGAGTATTTCTATTGCTGCCACATTGCCCATGTTTTTCCTTATCTCTACACTAATGGACATTTATATTTTGTTAACATGGTAGATTCTTTCATAGTTTGTGTAATGGTTTCATAAAATCTTCTCTGATCCAGATTCCAAGGTCTGTCTTTATTGATTTTTTTTTTCCCAAGACTATCCTCCCTTCACATGTCTCATGGAGGTTTTTGCTGCTGAATGTAAGGACTTCCCAGGATTTCCACCTCTTTCTCTGCCAATTATGTTAGACAGTTACTTGGTTATTAACTGTCTTACAGAGAGGAGACATCCAGTGAATAGTTGTTATTAATTGACCTCTTACTAATTTAATAGTTTAAGATATTTCTTGCCATTCATCTGTGTCCTTCATTCTGATTAATAAACATTAATAAATAAACATATAGTATAAATATAAACATATAGTATAAAAGCATATAGTATAAAAGCCAATGGACAATAGTATATGACCTTTCTGGGGTCATAGTCCCATTTGAAAATCTGACAAAGGCTATGAAATCACTCTCTGTGAAAAGGCCCATTTGTACATAGGCATAATATTTTGCCTAAATGTAAGCAAGTGCAAGTACCTAAGTTAATCTGTAGAGTACCCATGAATTAAATATCTCTTAATGACAATATGGCAGCTTTCAGCATGCTTGAGAACAATCTTCATACATGCAGTTTTTGTTAATGTCTAACTTTTAATAGTAATTTCTACTGACTAGCCCAGGTTATGACTAAAGTCGTCTGCTTGCAATAATAGGAAAATCCAACATGTACTCTTCTCTCTAATGTGACAAGAAGTAAAAATGACTTTTTAAAAAATGTTAGCGTCTCCATTTTCATACATGATTTAAAAAACCACCCTCTTAATTTATGCTCTTCTTTCCTTGACAAACATTTACATCTGCTCTGCTTTTTTCCAGCTCAACCAGATGGTTAATGGACAAATAACATATTCCATTGACTGTCAAATACAATTGATTGTAAGATACATTTTGATTTTGATGGTACAAAGAGTCATTTGCTAATATCTATTCCTCAATTATTGAACAAATATGTTTGAATACTATGTGCTAAGCATTACATTGAGTCCGAAGATTATAATAGAAATAAGATATGCTTATAAAGGGAAGAATTAGTAAAGCGTTACTGTACTTCCTTGGAAATAATTTTAAGAGAATTCAGGGAAATAAATAATATCGTTTTCCTATTCATAGGATCCTCATATATTTAGGAATTTATTTCCCAATCCCTACCCTAATTCCTGAAATAAATATCCCTTAAATAACTTACATTTCTTTTTTGTCTTTGACAGGGTTTTTAAATTTACTTTTATTTTATTTTATTTTTTATTTTTTATTAGATTTCCCTACCCCTGCATGCCTCTTGAGTTTATTCACTTTCTTTGTTTGCCTTGGGGTTTAAAAAAAAACTTCTTTATTTCTCATCATAGGAGATTGGAAGTAGTTTCCCCCGCTCCCTGCCACCAATTTGTGTGCATTACCTATAGAATTGCTATGACTTTTTATCTGATATAGTAAGACTTGTCTCAAATGAACCTCAATACACAATACATTTTAAGGGGAAAATGGTCTACATTTAAAAATCAAGAAAGGACTAGATTCACTTGGTATTCCTTTTACTTACAGTTCTTTTTTAAAAGTTTGGTTTTAAAAAAAAATTAAAGCCATCACAGACTACAGAGTAGTTAAGTGTAGTACAGAGAAATTTGTTTGCCTGAACCATTTGAGAGGAAGTGACGACTCTAATGCTCTATTACCTCTGAATATTTTAGTGTGTATTTCTCAAAAACAAGGACATCTTCCTACACAACCACAATGAAATAATCAGAATCAGGATATTAATGCTGCTGCAGTACTACCATTTAATACGCAGGCCACTTTCAAGTGTTGCCAGTTGTCTCAATAATAACCATTTCAGAATTATGTGTTGCATTTAGTTTTCATGTCTCTTTAGTCTTCATTAGGCTGGAACAGTATCTCAGTCTTTGCTTGTCTTTAATTACCTTGATAATTTTGAATATTTCAGACCACTAATTTTGTAGAATGTCCCTCAATTTGGATTTGTTTGATGTTTTTTCATGACTAAACCCAGGTTATGCATCTTGGGCAGGAATTTTTCTCATTGCATCCTATCAGGTGGCATATGATTTTGATTTGTCCTGTTATTGATAAAGTTCACCTCCATCATTTGGTTCTGATGCTGTCTGTCAGGTTTCTGAACTGTAAAATTACTCTTTTTCCCTTTGTAGTATTTTGTGTGCAGGTACTTCGAGACTATGTAAAAATCCCATTCTTGTCAAAATTTCAGTGTATTCATTTATATCTGTGTTAACTCATAGTTTCCTATTTTATTCAGTGTGGTATAATCCATTTCTGTTATTTATCTCAATGCTCAAATTGCCCTCAGTTCAGCCAGTAGAAGTCCCTTCATGCTGGCTTAAGTGTCCTTTTGGCGTTCTTTGAGAGGTTCTTTGCTTTCAGATAAGAGATATTTGAATTCAACACCAAAGGATTCATTCTTGCTTCTCTCATTCTATATTTGCATCTGTCTTCAGTGAGAAGATTGGCTCCCATTTGATAAATCCTCATGTGTGTTACTGTTCTCTCATTATTGCTGCCACCCACACCCTGGGTAGATGCTTAGCTCACTTGGACTCTGACACTCTGTATTGGGACATTCCCTCTTTGCACCTGTTAGATGCCCTCTTTATCCTACTCAGGGTCTGACATCTTGCACAGGGCTGTCTCCACACCTGGATGCCCACTCACCTCACTCAAGCTCTGACTCTCCATTCCAAGCCACCCCACTCTTGGAATCTCCTATGCATTTCACTTAGGCTCTAATAATATTCCTTTCTAAGTTGTTCAGTAAGGAGAAGGACAAGAGGTATTTATGTCTGTTTTAAAAAGTGACTTCATAATGACTTGATTACTTCTTTTACAATCTGAAGAATTGATACAGCCTTTTCTATAATCTTACATTAAAGAATCTCTAATTGTATTTCAAAATTTTGCAAGTGTTTATTATAACATCTATAAAATTACAAAATTTATAGAGTGTCAGTTTTTATTCTAAACTGTGAATTGGCCAGGTAGTATTTCATGCTCTGTGGGCCAGTAGGCAAAATTGAGATATTATGCAGTTACTTATATAACAGCCATTTTAAAATGTAAAAACTATTCTTAGCTTCTGGGCTTACAAAATCAGGTGAGACAAGATTTGCCCCATGGACTATAGTTTGCTACCCACTTGTTTTAAACTAAACTACTTGGACATTTTTTAAAAAGATAACACTGTTATTATGATTTGAAGCTTACAAAATGCCATTTATGCTTCATTCATTCATTTATTCAACAAATGTTTATTGAGTCTCTGCTATCTGCTAGGCCCAATGCCAGATGCTACAAAGGTGTATTTTATAAGGCAGGAATCAGTAACCCATCTTACAGCTAAGATATTAAGACTCTGGTCAAGTAACTTGTTAAACTTAAGCTAACAAGTGAAGGCAAAATATTATTTGTTGAATTGTACCCTCTTGCTTCAATAGTAGAATCCATTCATTAATTTGGGGTTTTCTTACATTGACCACAATATTGAATATTGAAAATGTCTTGGCTGGGCGCAGTGGCTCGTGCCTGTAATCCCAGCACTTTGGGGAGTCTGAAGCGGAAGGATCGCTTGAGCCCAGGAGTTCAAGACCATCCTGGGCAACATAGGACGACCACATCTCTGCAATACATAAAATTAAAAACTTAGCTGGGTGTGGTGGCATGTGCCTGTGTTCTCAGCTACTTGGGAGGCTGAGGTGGGAGGATTGCTTGAGCCTGGGAGTCGAGGCTGCAGTAAACCATGATTGCATCACTGCACTGTAGCCTGGGCAGCAGAACAGGACTAACACGTTGCTTCTAATTTATATATTTGCTGTGAGCTACAGCAGCTTTTTATATGTGTCTATTATGTATGATTTATGCTTCATCATTTAAATATTGATGTGGATTATGATGACTTTTAGCAAAGGTTTTATTCATTCAGTTGATTGATTTTTTTTTTTTTTTCGTTAGGTATGGTTTGGAGAAGATCTGCCTCTAAGTCCTCGGAGTCCTCTGACCCCCAGACATGGACCAGGATTGGCTAATGTTTGTCAGTATGATGAGTGGATAGCTGTGAGGCATGAAGCCACTCTGTTGCCCATGCAAGAAGATCTATCAATCTGGTTATCTGGTTTATTAGGTGATGCTTGAAACAATACCCCAAATTGTATTATCTTATTCAGTATGCATTTATTGAGAGCCTTACTCTTTGTCAAGGAGTGATTGTTACAGATGCTGGGGATACTCTAGTGAATGAAGTATTCAGTGCCCTTGCTTTCACCAAAGTTACATTTCAGCTGGGGAAATACTCTGATTCACCCTGAACCTTGGGTCTTGAATAGTAGGAAATTTGAGATTTAACCGAAGAGGTCAATAAACTTTGAATAATGAACATTTTCATTGTTAATATTAAAATCATCTTTAAAAAGTGTATTGATCTTTTTTTTTTTTTTTTTTACTGATTCACCCCCCTCACCCCCGACCTGCCTTAGTCTTGTATAAGCCATGAACTTTGAGTGAAATATATACTGTAGATAAAATGATTACAATTTCTGAGGCATTGAAGGATAGAGGCATATGAAACCTAGGAGGAAGTGTCAGGTTGGAGAATGTCTGGCATCATATTTTTTACTCTATTAGAGAATATGATGAATGCTTTAAACTTTCTCCCCAGAAAAATTTTACTTTAAATAATTTTATGTGGAATTCTTAAGTTTTCATGAAAAAGAGTATCTTAAATGATATAGCCCTTCCAAGATAATAAAATACCAAATATTATCTGTATTTGTCTATTATCAGTTTGATGGATAATGTTTAGAGTTTATTATGTAATAATAATGTTTTTAAAGAAGATAATCTAGAAGTAAAACATTAGTATTCCCTGGGTATTTGTTATGGTATTGTCTTTAATTTTAAAATTGGAACCAAGTCCATCTTATTTATAGAGACTATTATTCTTGTGCAAGGAATATTAATACGCAGTGAATTTATTTCAAATGAAATAAAATCGATGTCAATTTTCTATATTTTTTCTGTACTTCTACATTACAGATATTTTTGTTTCAGTATCATTAAGTTAACTTGCCATTATTTGCTATTTTAACTGTACCTTCTAAGAGTATTTAAGAGTCTGATCTGATATTTTTCTAGTGTTTTGCTGTAATCTGATTCTACTTAATTAATTTTAACCATATTGTTTGAATTTATGTTTCTAGAAGAATCTTAACTTTGAAATATGTTTTTAGGTATTAAAGTTAAGGCAGAAAAATTATTGGAAGAACTTGATAATGGAGTACTACTATGTCAACTGATTGATGTTCTTCAAAACATGGTGAAAACATGCAACTCTGAAGAATCAGGGGTAAGTAAATGTTTGACACTGTTGATTTTATGTCTCGGTACCTATTAATTTATGTATATTTCTTATCTCTAGGAGGTTGTAGACTTCCATGCCAACTGGCTATGAGATGTTGAATAATTTACTTAACCCTTTTCGAGATCTGGAAAAATGTTCTCTTTCATAAAATGACATTAACAGTTACCTTAGGATTTATTTGTGAGAGTTCAGTCAAATTAAATGAGTGAATGTACAGATGGTGTCTAACATAGTGCTTGATGCATAGTCAATCCAGCTCTTCTTGAGAACATTAACATAACTTCCTTTTAGAATTGTTGTGAGGGTTACTGATGGACATTTGGGTTGATTCCAAGTCTTTGCTATTGTGAATAGTGCCGCAATAAACATATGTGTGCATGTGTCTTTATAGCAGCATGATTTATAATCCTTTGCGTATATACCCAGTAATGGGATGGCTGGGTCATATGGTACATCTAGTTCTAGATCCTTGAGGAATCGCCATACTGTTTTCCATAATGGTTGAACTAGTTTACAATCCCACCAACAGTGTAAAAGTGTTCCTATTTCTCCACATCCTCTCCAGCACCTGTTGTTTCCTGACTTTTTAATGATCGCCATTCTAACTGGTGTGAGATGGTATCTCATTGTGGTTTTGATTTGCATTTCTCTGATGGCCAGTGATGATGAGCATTTTTTCATGTGTCGGCTGTATGAATGTCTTCTTTTGAGAAATGTCTGTTCATATCCTTTGCCCACTTTTTGATGGTGTTGTTTGTTTTTATCTTGTAAATTTGTTTGAGTTCTTTGTAGGTTCTGGATATTAGCCCTTTGTCAGATGAGTAGATTGCAAAAATTTTCTCCCATTCTGGATTAAGAAAATGTGGCACATATACACCATGGAATACTATGCAGCCATAAAAAAGGATGAGTTTGTGTCCTTTGTAGGGACATGGATGCAGCTGGAAACCATCATTCTTAGCAAACTATCACAAGAACAGAAAACCAAACACCGCATGTTCTCACTCATAGGTGGGAACTGAACAATGAGATCACTTGGACTCGGGAAGGGGAACATCACATACCGGGGCCTATCATGAGGCGGGGGGAGGGGGGAGGGATTGCATTGGGAGTTATACCTGATGTAAATGACGAGTTGATGGGTGCTGACGAGTTGATGGTTGCAGAACACCAACATGGCACAAGTATACATATGTAACAAACCTGCATGTTATGCACATGTACCCTAGAACTTAAAGTATAATAATAATAATAAATAAAAAAGAAAAAAAAAAAAGAATTGTTGTGAGGGTTAAATGGGAAAAGAGCTTGTGATGGTTCCTGGCACACAAGTAGCAGCTGCTATTATTATTTTCTTCTTTATATATTTTCCATGTATTGTGTTGGTGGTAAATTCTATAAATATTGATTGGATAAATAATAAATGTTTTTAGACAGTGTTCATTCGTTAGCCCTGAAGTCATGATTTGAAGTCGGTAAGGTTTCCTCTCTTTTCATCAAATGTAGGTATTCTCAAGAGTTTGGAGTTTGCAAATTTACACACAGTTGGTGGAAATATAAGGGAGTATCATCATTCTAGGGGACAGTGGATGATATGTGTGTGTGTATATATGTATCACTGAAAATAAGGTATATCTTGTAAAAATATTTTGTGGGTACATACTAGGTGTGTATATTTATGGGGTACATGAGATACTTTGATACAGGCATGCAATAAGTAATAATCATCGTGGAAAATAGGATATCCATTCCCTCAAGTATTTATTCTTTGTGTTACAAGCAATCCAATTGTACTCTTTTAGTTATTTTTAAATGTACAATTAAATTATTATTGACTGTAGTCACCCTGTTGTACTATCAAATACTAGGTATTATTAATTCTTTCTAACTATATTTTTTGCACCCTTAAACATCTCCACTTCCCCCACCTCCCACAATCCTTCCCAGCCTCTGCTAAGCGTCCTTCTACTATCTCCATGAGTTCAGTTGTTGATTTTTAGCACCCACAAATAATTGAGAACATGTGATGTTTGTCTTTCTGTGCCTGTTGTATTTCACTTAGCATAATGACCTCCAGTTCTATCCTGTTACAAATAACAGGATCTCAGTCTTTTTTATAGCTCTATGGTACTCCATTGTATATATGTGCCACCTTTTCTTTACCTGTTCATCTGTTGATGGACATTTAGGTTGATTCCAAATCTTGGCTATTGAGAACAGTGCTTCAGCAAACATAGGAGTGCAGATAATCTCTTTAATCTACTGATTTCCTTTCTGTTGGGTATATACCCAGTGGGTTGTTGGGTCATATGGTAGCTCTATTTTTAGTTTTTTGAGGAACCTTCAAACTGTTCTCCATAGTAGCTGTAGTAATTTATATTACCACCAGCAGTGTATGAGGGTTCCCTTTTCTCCACATCTTTGCCAGCATTTGTTATTGTTTGTCTTTTGGATGAAAGCCATTTTAATTGGGGTGAGATGATATCTCATTGTAGTTTTGATTTGCATTTCTTTGATATCAGTGATGTTGAGCACCTTTTCTTATATCTGTTTGCCATTTGTGTGTCTTTTGAGAAATGTCTATTCAAATCTTTTGCCCATTTTTAAATTGGATTATTAGATTTTATCCTACAGAGTTGTTTGAGCTCCTTATATATTCTACTTAATAATCCGTTGTCAGATGGATTGTTTGCAGATATTTTCTCCCATTCTATGGGTTGCTCTTCAATGTGTTGTTTCCTTTACTGTGCAGAAGCTTTTTAACGTGATGTGATCCTATTTATTTTTGATTTGGTTGCTTCTGCTTGTGGGGTATTACTTAGGAAGTTTTTGCCCAGACCAATGTCAAGGAGAGTTTTCCCAATGTTTTCTTGTAACAGTTGCATAGTACGAGGTCTTAGATTTAAGTATTTAATCCATTTTTATTTCATTTTTATATATGGTGAGAGACAGGGTTGGTCAAGTTTCATTCTTCTGCATGTGAATACCCAGTTTTCCCAGCAGATTTTATTGAAGAGACTGTCCTTTCTCCAATCTCTGTTCCTAGCACCTTTGTTATAAGTGAGTTCACTACAGTTATCTGGATTTATTTCTGAGTTTTCTTTTCTGTTCCATTGGTCTGTGTCTCTTTATGCCAGTACCATACTGTTTTGGTTGAAGTCAGGTAATGTGATTCCTCCAATTTTGTTCTTTTTACTCAGGATAGTTTTGACTATTCTCAGTCTTTTGTGATTCCATATAAATTTTAGGATCTTTTTTCCATTTCTATGAAGAATGCCGTTGTTATTTTGGTAAGGATTGCATTGAGTCTGTAGATTGCTTTGAGTAGTATGACCATTTTAACAATATTGATTCTTCCAATCCATGCACATGGAATATTTTACCATTTTTTGGTGCCCTCTTCAATTTTTCATTAGTGTTTTATTGTAGAGATATTTCACTTCTTAGCTTAAGTTAATTCCTAGGTATTTAATTTTATTTGTGACTGTTGTAAATGGGATTACTTTTTATTTCTTTTTCAGATTGTTGGCATACAAATGCTACAGATTTTTGTATGTTGATTTTGTGTCCTGAAACTTTACTGAATTTGTTTCTCAGCTCTAATGGTTTTTTTTGTGTGTGGGGGGGTCTTTAGGTTTTTCTAAATACAAGATCATATCATCTGCAAACAAGAATATTTGACATCTTCCTTTCCAGTTCGGATGCCAAATCTTTCTTTCTCTTGTCTGATTACTCTAGCTAGGACTTCCAGAATCGTGTTGAATAACAGTGATGAAAGTGGGCATCCTTGTTGTGGTCCAGACCTTAGAGGAAAGGCTTTCAGTTTTTCCTCATTTGGTATGATACTAGCTGTGGGTCTGTCATCATATGGCTTTTATTATGCTGAGGTGTGTTCCTTCTATACCCAGTTTCTTTAGGGTTTTTATCACAAAGGGATTTAAATTTTATCAAATGCTTTTTCAACATCAATTGAAATGATATATATGGTTTTTATACTTCATTTCGTTGATAGATGTATCACACTGATTGATTTGCACATGTTGAAACATCGTCGCATCCCTGCGATAAATCCCAATTGGTCATGATGAATAATTTTTTAAATGTATTGTTGAATTCAGTTTGCTAGTATTTTGTTGAGGATTTTTGCATCAATATTCATCAGAGATATTGGTCTGTTGTCTTCATTTTTTAATATGTCTTTGTCTGGTTTTGGTATAATACTGGCCTCATAGAATGAGTTTGGAAGTAATCCCTCCTCTTCTGTTTTTCAGAATAGTTTGAGTAGGACTGCTATTAGTTCTTCTTCAAATGTTTGGTAGAATTCAGCAGTGAAGCACTCGGGTCCCAGGCTTTTCTTTACTGGGAGGCTTTTTATTACAGCTTTGATCTTGTTACTTGTTATTGGTCTGTTCAGGTTTTGTTGTCATACGGTTGCTCAGTATAATCCTTTAAATTTCTGTGGTATCAGTTGTAATGTCTCCTTTTTCATCTCTGATTTTATTTGTGTCTTCTCTCTTTTTTCTTAGTCTGACTTAAGGTCTGTCAATTTTATTTATCCTTTCAAAAAACCAACTTTAAGTTTTGTTTATCTTTTGTTATTGTTTTTGTCATTTCAATTTCATTTATTTCTGTTCTGATCTTCATTATTTCTTTTCTTGTACTAATTTCGAGTTGATTTGCACTTGTTTTTTTAGTTCTTTAAGATGCATTGTTAGGTTATTTATTTTAAGTTTTTCTTCTTTTTTGATGTGGACACTTACAGCTATAAATTTACCTCTTAATACTGCTTTCACTGTATCCCATAGGTTTTGGTATTTGTGTTTTCATTATTTTTTTCAAGAAAATTTTTCAATTTTCTTCTTAATTTCCTCATTGACCCACTGGTGTCAGTCATTCAGGAGCATATTGTTTAATTTCCATGTGTTTATATTGTTTCCAAAATTACTCTTGTTATGGATTTCTAGTTTTATTCCATTATGGTCATTTTCAGGTTTTAAAAAATATTTTAGGAGTTGTTTTGTAACCTAACATATGATCTATGCTTGAGAATGATCCACCTGCTAAGGAGATTAAAGCAGCTGCTGAATGAGATGTTCTGTAAATATCTGTTAGGTCTATTTGTTCTATAGTGAAGATTAAGTCTGATGTGTCTTTTCTGATTTTCTATCTGGAAGATCTGAGCAATGCCGAAAGTGGGGTTTTGAAGTCTCCATCTATTACTGTATTGGAGTCTCTCTCTCTCTTTAGCTGTAATAATATTTGCTTTATTTATCTGAGTGCTCTAGCATTGGGTCCATATATATTTACAATTTTTATATCCTCTTGCTGAATTGACCTCTTTATCATTATATAATGACCTTCTTTGTCTCTTCTTTGTCTTAGAATTCATTTTGTCTGATATAAATATAGCTACTCCTGTTTTTCGGGTTTCCCATTGGCATGGAGTATCTTTTTCCATCCCTTTATTTTCAGTCTATATGTGTTTTTATGGGTGAAGAGTGTTTCCTGGAGACAACAGAAAATTGGGTCTTGCTTTTTCATCCATTCAGCTACTTTGTGTCTCTTGATTGGAGAATTTAATCTATTTACATTCAGTGTTATAATTGATAAATAAGGGCTTACTCCTGCCATTTTGTTGTTTTCTGGTTGTTTTTTGGTCAGCTCCTTCTTTCCTTCCTTCCTGTCTTTTAGTGAAGCTGATTTTCTCTGGTGGTATGCTTTAATTTCTTACTTTCTATTTTTCATGTATCTGTTGTATGTTTTTTGATTTGAGGTTACCATGAGGCTTGCAAATAATATCTTATAACCCATTATTTTAAACTGATTGCATAAGCAAAAGAACTATTAATAGCAAGGGATATTGTCACAGAGCTTCCCAAACCTAGAGAAAGATATCAATATTCAAGTACAAGAAAGTTATAAAACACTAGCAGATTTAACCAAAGAACACTACCTCAAGGCATTTAATAAACTCCTAAAGGTCAAGGATAAAGAACTCACTTTAGCATTTCTTGTAGGATGGTCTGGTGTGGATGAAATCCTTCAGCTTTTGTTGTCTGGGAAAGTCTTTATTTCTCCTTCATGCTTAAAGGATCCTAAAAGCAGCAAGAGAAAAGAAACAAATAATATACAATGGAGTCATGTTCCCCCAGGCCCTGGTTGGGTCCGGAGATGCTGTCTGGGAGCCAGAGATTGAAGTCTTAAACCTTAGAAATTTACCTGATATTACTGTTTTACTGCAGCTAAGCCAGCACTCAAACCACAAGTCAAAGTCCTTCCCACTCTTTCTTCCTCTTTTTATGGGCAGAGGAGCCTCTCCCTGTGGCTACTACCACCACTGGCCCCTGTGGGTTTCTGCCAGGCCACTGCCAGTAGAACCCAAGGGCTCTTTAGTCAGCTTGTGGTGAATGCTGCCAGGCCTGGGACTCACCCTTCAAGGCAGTGGCCTCCCCTCTGGCCCAGGCCAGGTCCAGAAATGCTGACCAAGAGCCGAGGCCTAAAGCTGGGGACTCCTCAGAGCTTGCTTGGTGCTCTACCCCACTGTGTCTGAGTTGGTCCCTAAGGCACAAGACAGAGTCAGCTTTACTTTTCCCCTTGCCTTTCTCAAACAGGAAGAGTCTTTCATTGTAGCCACCAAAACTGGGAATGTATTCAGTCCCACCTGAAGCTAGTATGTCTGACAGCCCAACGCCCATGGCGTGTTACCTGGGTATCACTGCTGGTTATTCAGGGCCCAAGGGTTCTTTACTCAGCAGGTGATGAATCCTGATAGGTCACCATTGTGACAAGGCAGCACTGAGTTCAGCGTAAAGTCCTCCAGTTGCTGTGCTGTCTGTCTTCCAAGTGCACAGCTTTCTCTGCACCTTGTGGCTGCTGCCAGGGGTTGGGGGAGGTGGTGCAAGCACACGCTTAGCCTGGTTGATGTCTCAGTAGGTCATATGCTCCTCCCCTCTGGTCCACTGGCTCTGAGTCCATCTCAGCACTGGGCTTGCCTAGGACTTGCAATTCTTGTGGCCTAGACTGTCCCTCAAGTTCACTTAGGTCCCCAGAGCACTCCAGTTTATGGTAGCGAGGCTTGTCTGAACTCAAGCTCTTATTACTGTAATGGGTGAGTCCCCTCTAGCTGGGGCTGGTCCAAATGCTTTCTCCATGGGCAGACGTCAGTTACTAAAGCCTGGTTCTGCCTTCTGCTGTGTAAGGACAGCAGTGAGTTCAATGTAAAGCCTCAAAATCACTGTACTCTCCCTCTCCCAGATACACAGATTCTCTGTGCCATGTGGTTGCTGCCGGGAAGATGGAGGGGGGGTGGGCAATTTAAGACTGTCTTTCCTTCCCTCTTCAAGGTCTCTCTCAGCGATATGAAATTAAAACCAGATTTCTGGTCTGATTTTTGATTCTTGTAATGGTGCTTCTTGTGTGTAGTTAGTTGTTAAAATTTGATGTTCCTGTGGGCAAGACAAATGTTGTAGGTTTGTATGGGGCTGTCTCGCTCTGCCCCCTAAAGCACATCTTTTGATACATAGGTCTATTTGTAGGAATTTATTCTGAGAAAATAATCAGAAGTTTGTGAAAGTGATAGTACAGAAATTAGGAACAACCTAAATGTTCATCAATAGAGAAATTGGTAAAAATTAATCATGATAACCAGCCACATTGGAATATTATACATTCATTAGAAACAATTTTTTAAATATGTTGTTTTGAACCCCACATGGTGTCTACACCCTGTCATTTAGTGTATATGCACACATGCACACACAAATGAAATTGAAGAATGGCGTATGTGACGTTTTGTAGACACAAATATGTGTATAGTTGTGCATAGAGATGTCTTGCCGAAATGTGGGTGAGAGGATTTCAGTTGATACTTGTAGTTTGCTGTTGGTTTGATTTTTTTTTTTTTCAGTGATTGTATATTCTGTATTCAATCAGGGAAAAAAAAACTCCTAAGGTTATTTTAGTTTTGGAAATAAATAGTAACAGGAAGGATATACAAGGAACTAGTAATAGTGGTTAACTCTAGGGAGAGAGAGGAACTGGGAGTAGGTGAGAGAAAGGCGTAATATCCTACTGTACCTATTGCATTAACAAAAATCATATTCATGGATTGCTTATTCAAGTAAAAATTTAAACCGAACCAAAACAAAAAAATCTCTTAGCCTCAGCAGAATTATCTAAATAATCTTGGAGCAGATAGTAAAAAAAATTAAGATTCTGTGAAACTTAGATCATCAGTTTTCAAAGAACTTTAATTAAGAAGGAACAACTACTTCCTTATTTGATAGTCTCCTCAAGAAACTCAGAACCATCTTTATGAATCTACATGGAAGGAAGTAAGCAAAAATGGGTGTCTGTAATTTTTTTTTTTTTTTTTTGAGAAAGAGTCTTGCTCTGTTGCCCAGGCTGGAGTACAGTGGCATGATCATAGCTTACTGCATCCTGGAACTGCTGGGCTCAAGTGATGCTCTCACCTCAGCCTCCTGAGCAGCGGGACTTTAGCTACGTGCCACCATACCTGCCTAATATTTAAAAAAATATTTTGTAGAAATGAGGTCATACTATGTTGCCCAGGCTGGTCTTGAGCTCCTAGCCTCAAGCAATCCTGCTTCAGCCTCCCAAAGTGATGGGATTACAAGTGAGTCATCATACCCATCTCTTAACTTTTAACATAGCAATAATTTGAGGTTTATATTGAACTATGTGTAGAGAGACATACCGTTGAGAGTGCTTTGCAATTATTAGGCTGTCAGTTTTTATTTTAATTTAAGATTCTTACGTCATTTTAAAAAGAAAGAGGTGAGAGATGCTTGATCCTACTGCTAATTTTGACCAAATTGTTTTTCTAGGAATCATTTTTCTGGAATATACTTTAAAGCAGCGGTCTTTTTGGCACCAGGGACTGGTTTAATGGAAGACAGTGTTTCCACATATTTGGGGCTGGGGGGGTTTTGAGATGAAACTGCTCAACCTCAGATCATCAGGCATTACATTCTCATAAGGAGCACGCAGCCTAGATCCCTTGCATGCACAGTTCACAATATGGTTCGAGCTTCTGTGAGAATCTAATGCTGCCGCTGATCTGATAGGAGGCAGAGTTCAGGTGGTAATGCTTGCTTACCCACTGCTCACCTGCTGTGCGGCCTGGTTCCTAACAGGCCACGGACCGGTACCAGTCTGTGGCCCAGGGTTTGGGGACCTCTGCTTTAAAGTAAAATAAAATGTTTTCAAAAGTATCTTTTTTCTCCAAAGTTGTGTACTTTTTGGTTACAGGTGATGGATTGAACATTTATTTAGTAATATCAAAATGACTGTTTAATGAAAATATCCTTGATACATTTTTGAAATTATTCTTTTATCTTTTCCAGAATTTTCCAGCGAGAAAAGTGCCCTGTAAGAAAGATGCTGCATCAGGTTCATTCTTTGCTCGGGACAATACCGCAAACTTCCTTCATTGGTGTAGGGATATTGGGGTTGATGAAACTTACCTCTTTGAATCTGAAGGTTTAGGTAAGTGATGTTGTTGACATTCTTGTTTTTAATGCTTATTAGGAGATTTTAATATCCTTAACCTCTAATTTTTCTTTCCAAATAAGGACTCAAATGCCTCATCTCATTTTCCTAGAAAAATGTATACTTTGAATATATGTTGAACTATTGGAGAATCAGGGCCGGGCGCAGTGGCTCATGCCTATAATTCTAGCACTTTGGGAGGCTGAGACGGGCGGATCATGAGGTCAGGAGATCGAAACCATCCTGGCTAACACGGTGAAACCCCGTCTACTAAAAAAAAAAAAACTAGCTGGGCATGCTGGCGGGTGCCTGTAGTCCCAGCTACTTGGAAGGCTGAGGCAGGAGAATGGCATGAACCCGGGAGGTGGAGCTTGCAGTGAGCCGAGATCACACCACTGCACTCTAGCCTGGGTGACAGAGTGAGACTCTGTCTCAAAAAAAAAAAAAAAAAAAGAATCAGGTATTAAATAAATTAAATATATTAACCTTTCACTTACAGTTAAAGATTTTATGTGTCTAGAATGCCCTGAAATTCTAAATTCCTAAATGAGTTGGCTACATTAAGAATTACTCTACCAAGCCTAAAAAGTAGTAACTTCCCTTTCACCATATAATTACGGAAATGACAGAAGGCCTAATAATGTATAATCATGGTGTTTAGCTTTACCTTATAACAACAGCTGCCAACTCTAATGGATTAATATTTTTGACAATTCATTTTGAGAAGTCATGCTCCGTTGAAGAATGATTGACGTATTTTCTCATTTCCTTTAAGTCAACAGAAGCACCTGTATAGTGACTAAAGCGGTAGCTATTTAAGTTTTGTACTATATTTGAAAGCATTTATGTATGTGTACATACACACCCATACCCACCCCCCTACCCCCACACACTGAATTCACAATGTGATAAGCACAGCAGTATACCAAGGGCAGGGCTGTGGGAGTTGTCTGCCCTGGTAGAAGTTTTGTCACTGACATTGTTTAGGATTGCTGGTTTGTGGTGATAGTAAAAAGCAAACTGACTTTTAGTTGGTGCATTATTGTTTTAAAATTCTCTACTGACAGTGCACACCCTTATTGCCTGCACACAGAGTAAGTTGCCTCCTGTTTACTCTGCATCTGGGCACCCGTATCCAGTGCAGAGCAAGCATGGGATGCTATTTTATCCCTCTGTTTGCACCTTGCTTTAGATCCAGGTGGGCTGATCTTTATTGACAATGTAGTTGATGTAATGGCATATCTACTTTCTAGAGATCAAAAGAAAGTGGAAATGCTTTGAATTCTCTAGTTTCTGGTTTATAGTTTCTGAAAGGACATAAGATGGTTGTATATTTCTCATTTTCAGTAGAAGGCATCTTCTCACTCTCCTGAAGGTCAGTATAGGACTAAGTAAAGCGCTGTCAATAGCAGTAATTCATTTTGAGGCATTGAACCAATAAGCTAATGTTTTTACTCTCCAGAGGTCTCAAAGATGAGCCTCTTAATTTTTCACACTTTGCTAGCAACTCATAGCTATTTTATGAAACAAATATACTATTTTAAGAAACTTAGAAAGTATTTAGAAAAACAAGTTTAATAAAAATTTTAGGATAAATTCCTCTGTTGGTATGAATTTTAAACTCAAATGTAGGCTTTTTATTGCTTTGAAAGAGTATACTTTGTGCTTGGGGTGTATAATAGATGCTATGCTATTCATAAGTCAAAGAACAATTACCATTTTTATTGAGAGAATCAGGGCAAATGCAGTTCATGCACATATTGCACATGATTAGATTAGGATTCAGAAATTTCCTAGACTTTCTAGCTTTAAGGACTGGAACAGAAAGGTAGATGATCCATAACTACTACTGTATCATTGCATTTAGCGTATGTTCTATGATGATCAGGCCTTTTTAAAAAATATTTTAAAGATCCCTGTTTACCTTTATATTGCATTTCCTTTTAAATTTATTTTTATTTTTAGTATTGTATTAAAATGCACATAAAATTTACTATCTTAGGCTGGGCACGGTGGCTCACGCCTGTAATCCCAGCACTTTGGGAGGCTGAGGCAGGCAGATCACCTGAGGTCAGGGGTTCGAGACCAGCCTGGGCAACATGGTGAAACCCCGTCTCTACAAAAATACAAAAATCAGCTGGGCATGGTGGTGCATGCCAGTAGTCCCAGCTACTCAGGAGGCTGAGGCGGGAGAATTGCTTGAACCTGGGAGTGCAGTGAGCCAAGATCACGCCACTGCACTCCAGACTGGGTGAAAGTGAGACTCAAAAAAAAAAAAAAATTACTATCTTAACCATTTAACCATTTTTAAGTGTATTAGTTTCTTTTGTAGTAGCATAAAAATTGAGATATGCTGTGTACATAATGTAAAATTTATAATTTTAAAATGTACATTTCAGTGGTTTTTAGTATATTCACTATGTTGTACAATCATTACTACTATCTAATTTTGGAACATTTCTAGAAAATCTATACCTATTAGCAATTAGTCGCAGTTATTCTCTTCCCCCATGCCAAGGCAAACCCTGTTCTCTGTCTCTATGGGTTTGCATATTCCTGATGTTTCATATAAATGGAATCATACAATATGTGGCCTTTTGTGTCTGTTTCTTCTACTTAGCACAGTGGTTCATTTATGTTGTAGCATGTAACAGTACTTCATTCCTTTTTATGGTAGACTAATATTCCATTGTATAGCTATGCCATATTTTTAAAATTCATTAATCAGCTAGTGGGCATTTGGATTGTTTCCACTCTTTGGCTATTGTGAATAATGTTGCTCTGAACATTTGTGTACAAATTTTGACGTAAATATCTTTTTTTTGAGACAAGAGTCTTGCTCTGTCACCCAGGCTGGAGTGCAGTGGCACAATCTCGACTCACTGCAAGCTCTGCCTCCCGGGTTCATGCCATTCTCCTGCCTCAGCCTCCCGAGTAGTTGGGACTACAGGCACCCGCTACCATGCCCAGCTAATTTTTTGTATTTTTTAGTAGAGACGGGGTTTTACCGCGTTAGCCGGGATCGTCTCGATCTCCTGACCTTGTGATCCGCCCACCTTGAACTTCCAAAGTGCTGGAATTACAGGCGTGAGCCACTGCGCCCGGCTGTAAACATATTTTTTAATTCTTTCAGATATATGCCTAGGAGTGGAATTTCTAGGTCATATGGTAACTCTGTCTATCTTTTTGAGGAGCTATTTTCAAAGTGGCTGGACCATTTTACATTTCCACCAGCAGTGCCCATGTGTTCCAATTTCTCCACATCTTTGTCAATACTTGTTATTGCCTGTTTTTTTTTTTTATTATAACCATGCTAGTGGGTGTGAAGCAGTATTTTGTTGTGGTTTTGATTTGCATTTCCCTAAGGACATTGAACATCTTTTTATATGCTTGTTAACCACTTGTATAACTTCTTTGGAGACTGTCTATTCAAATCCTTTGCCTATTTAAACAATTGGGTCATTTACCCTTTTTGTGAACTTGCAAGAATTCTTTATATATTCTAGATACTAGGCCATATTAGATAGGATTTGTAAATATTTTCTCCTAGCCTTTGGGTTATTTTTTTACTTTCTTGATAGTGTCCTTTGATATATGCAAATTTTAAATTTTGGTGACGTTTATCTATTTTTTTTTTTTTTTTGCTTATTCATACTTTTGGTCATCTAAAAATCCGTTGCCTAATTAAAGTCATACATATTTTTAACCTATATTTTCTTCTATAAATGTTACAGTTGGTGCCTCTTAGTTTTAGGTCATTGATCTATTTTGAGTTAGTTTTTGTATATGGTGGGAGGTAGGGGTTCAAATTCATTCTTTTGCATATAGATGTCCAGTTGTGCCAACACAGTTTGTTGAAAAACCTGTTCTCTCCTTATTGAATTGTCTTAGCATCTTGTTGAAATTAATTGTACATAAATGTATGGGTTTATTTCTGGACACTCATTTCCATTCCATTGATCTGTACATTTATCCCTATGCCAGTGATACACTGTCTTGATTACTGTAGCTTATAGTAAGTTTTGAAATTGGGAGGTGTGAGTCTCCAACTTTGTTCTTTTTCTAGATTGGTTAGGCTTTTCTGTGCCTTTGGAGTCCCATATTAATTGGATCATCAGCTTTTCCATTTCTGGGAAAAAAAAGGGCTGTTGTAATTTTGATAAGGATTACACTGAATCTGCAGGTCGATTGGGGGAATGTTGCTGTCTTAACAAATTGTCTTCCAATCCATGAACATGAGATGTCTCTATTTATAATCTTAAAATTTCATTCAACAGTGTTTTGTAGTTTTCAGTGTATAAGTGTTACAATTCTGTGATTAGGTTTACTTCCAAGTACTTTGTTCTTTTTGAAGCCATTTTAAGTGGAATTATTTTCTTCATTTCATTTTCATACTGTTCATTTCTAGTGTATGCAACTAATTTTTGTGTGTTGATGTTATCTCCCACAACTTTGCTGAACTTGCTTATTAGCTCTAACAGTTATTTTGTAGATTCTTCAGGGTTTTCTTCTATACATAGGATTACGTTACCTGTTTTTTGTTTTTTTGTTTAGTTTTTGTTGCTTTGTTTTTTGAGACAGGGTCTCACTCGGTCACCCAGGACTGGAGTATAAGTGGCATGATAATAGCTCACTGTAGTCTTGAACTCATGGATTCAATTCATCCTCCTGCCTCGGCCTCTTGAGTATCTGGGATTACAAGTGTGTGCCACTATGCCTGGCTAATTAAAAAAAAAAAAAAGAAAATTGTAGAGACAGAGTCTCACTTTGTTGCCCAGGCTGATCTCAAACTCCTAGCCTCAAGCAATCTTCCCGCCTCAGTCTCCCAAAGTGCTAGTAGTATTATAGGTGTGAGCCACCATGTCTGGCCTATGTTATCTGCTAATAGATGTAGTTTTCCTTCTTCCTTTCAAGTCCAGATACGATTTATTTATTTTTCTTGCATAAATGTCATGGCTACAACCTCCAATACAATGCTGAATAGAAATAATAACAGTGGACGTCCTTGTCTTTTCCTGGTCTTGAGAGGGAGACTTACAGTTTTTTACCTTTAAGAAAGATAATGACTGTGGGTTTTTCCTAGATGCCCTTTATCAGATTGAGAAACTTTCCTTTTTTTCCTGGTTTGTTCAGTCTGTTTTTTTTTTTTTTAATCATGAAATGGTTGGATTTTGTGAAGTGGTTCTTTGTCTCTTGAGATAAGATAATTGTGTGTGTTTTTTCTTTACTCTGCTAATAGTATATTGCATTGGTTGATTTTCTTATATTGAACTATTTCTGGCATAAATGACACTTGCATGGTATATAATCCTTTAATATGCTGCTGGATTTGGTTTGCCAGTATTTCTTTGAGGATTTTTGTATCTATATTCATAAGACATACTGGGTTTTCGTTTTCTTATGATGTCTTCATCTGGCTACCTTTGGTATCAGGGTAATGCTGTCATCCTAGAATGAGTTAGGAAGTACTTTCTCTCCTCTTTGTAAGAGTTTGAGAAAGGTATTAACACATGATTCAATGCTAAAGATAGCTTAAAATAAAATTGAGGTATTATATATCTTTTAATGGTATCTCTTGTTGAAAGATCTGAAACATAAGCAATGTTACTAAGCCCTCAATTTTTTAGACTTTAAATGCTGCACAAATAAAGGTCCATGGTAATTTTTCATTCTGTTCTTGTTAGCTGGTTTTTTTTTAAAACTAATTTGTCGAAGATAATAAGTAGAAAAAATAAAAGTGCCTTTTCTTTATTTTTTCTGAACTAGTAAACCCACTGTCTTCATTATTTTTTTTTTAATTTAACTCTCTTCTTCCATGCTAGAAATATGTTTCCATACTTAATTTTGCTGTATAAAATAAGTGGTTTTATTTTCCACAGTTTTGCACAAAGATCCAAGACAGGTGTATCTTTGTCTTCTTGAAATTGGTCGAATTGTGTCAAGGTATGTATTTCACCATATTTCAGAATTTCAATGTTATAAACATTTTAAATCTACTGAATTTTAGAACTCTATTTTCTATAAATTAAAAAATTGCTTTAAATTAATTTGCTATTTTTTGTTTCTTTATCAACTTTGTTCTGTTTGCATGAGCATATGTAAACATCTGAGTTCTCAATATAGCTTGTCTTCATTTACTGTTAAACTGCATTTACTGTTCAATTTTTTAGATTAAGGATAGGGTAAGAGCATGTAGTCTAAGGCAGTTGAAGTCAAAGCAAGTCCTCTGAACACAGAGAGGATCTGGCAGAAGGCCAAGGCGCGGTGTCCCCCATACCTACTTCAGTTCTGTCTTTACTCACCAGGTGATTTGAAAGCCATCTTTCAGGATCCCAGGTAGAATATTGGGAGCATCCTGCAACCCAAATATGTGCTATGATGTGAGGATTATAATATAGATATTTTGCAATCTATGATACATTAAACAGCATTTTCAAATATCCCAGTGAAACAATTGGTAGAAAAGGAGCATATAGACTTTACTTCAGAAAGAAAATCTATCTTGATGTGCAGGCAAGTACCTGGGTCAACTTTGCTTGAATAATCAGATCTCCTGGTTGGTTTTCAGATATGGGGTTGAGCCACCAGTGTTAGTAAAATTTGAGAAAGAAATTGAGTTAGAAGAGACCTTGCTTAATACTTCTGGGCCTGAAGATTCCATCATCATTCCAAAATCGTGCTGTCAGCATGAAGAGCTACATGAAGCTGTAAGTAGTTGCCACACTTTCTTTTGACCATGATACCTTGAAGTCTCATAGTTTTAAGCACTTCTAGTTTGCTACAGGTGATGCTATTTTTAAAAGCAAGTATTTCTTATTCGGAAGATAAACCAGTATTATTCTCCATTCTCTGATGAATTCAGGGCATTATATTTTAAAGGTGATTTGTTATTGCGTGTGTATGATGAGGAATAAATGTGTAGTTGAGGAGTGGTGGGGCAAATTGATTGGAACTCATCATGAAGAGCACTATAGGCCACAAGAATTCATTGATTCTTTTTTCAGTCTGGTAGTATTGTAATCTGATTTGCAAATTATAAGGAATATTCTCATGGTCATGTAGAGGTGATATTGGTTTTATGGTAATAATCCAGGCATAAGATGAGAGCTTGAACTTGAGCAGCAGTAATGGGGATGAAGCAAAAGGAACAAATATAAGACATATTTAGGAGGAATTGTTAGAAGAATTGACAGGAATTAGTGACTGATTGTGTGAGAAAGAGAATCTAGGGTGATTTCCAAGGTTTCTCTCAGTAGATGGAGAATACAGGAGGAGGGAAAGTTGGGAGGGAATATTGATGGGTTTTTATATTTTTTTTGAGAATTCTCTCCTCCAGAATATATCCGAACTTATTAGATGATAAGTTACAACTGGATAGTCTTCTTAACTTTATCTGTTCATTAGGTAGAAGTTAATAGAATTGCTCTTCCTTGGGTTGTGGGTCTTCTACAGTGACTACAGTGTGAACCATGAAGGTGAACTGAGCATGAACATTTTCTGCTTAGACTGTTGTTTGGACTGTAGCATTTTATGCAAGTGTGAAATACACAAAATTAAGAAATAATGAATAAATCATTACTAATAAACATTTTAAAAGTATTGCCTTGATTGTTTTGTTTAATGTAATAAAAGTCTATAGTAAAACTATCAGATAACCTTGCAAGACAGATTAAGAACATGTCAGAATGAACAACTCTTTTATCCGGCCAGAGTATCTACCTACATTATGCTATTGATGTGTGTGTGTGTATATATATTATATATATATAATATATATAATAATTGTCAATATCAATATGGGAAGCAGAAAGAATGCAGTAGGTAGAAAATAAAATTTAAAACTCATGTAACCTTAAAGAATGATAATTAAATAAAAAGGAAACATTGGAAAAATATTTGTATCAAGTGGAAAATACAGTGTTTTCATTTCCCTATTATATAAAGACCTTACACAGTTTGATAAGAAAATCATTGTAGTAAATAAGTGGGCAAGGTCTGTGTTCACACAGGAAGATAGCACAGTGTCGAAACTTGCTGATAATTGAGGAAATCAGATTATAACAGCTATGAAATACCATTTGCCATTTGTCCCATTAGCAAGATTTTTTAAAATTATGAAGCCTGGTGCTTTTAAATTCTAGTAAACTGTATTTAGGGTTTACTGTTGGCAATGGAAAATGACGTAAACTTTTGAAAAAGAAATGGACAAATATTAAGAGCTACAAAAATATTACTTTTTCATTTTTATTGTAGTTGAAGAGGGAAAATGTAGCATAAATGAAAGTGTTTATTGCATTAGGACTTAGAATGGTGAAAAATTGAAAGCAATGTAAATGCCCTCAAATAGGGCAACGGTTTGGCAAATTAGGATTCATAATCTTAACAGGATAATCATTGTGATCATTATGAAGAATATGTAGCAACAAGAAACATTTATTTTGTGTAAAATATGTATATACAAACTGTACAGAAATGAGAATGAAAATAATAGTAATATAGTACCTTTGTAGATTATTTTTATTTCCTTAGCTATTTCCTTCAGTATTATGATGTAAATTATGTAATAAAATCAGAAGAAATCATTTCTTACCTACAGCTCTTATTTCTTTTAGGCTCATGCCTTGTTCTGATTGTGGGTTAGTGCTGATTTGTACTGCTCAATATAAGTGAGCTTCAGGTATCTTAAACAAGGAAAAGATATGCCTTCTTATATCTACATTCTTGTTATGAAAACTAAAAAGAAACATTTCTCTAAATATATATGTGCTATATGAATACATTCAATGTCTACCTGTAAATACATGATCTACAGATATCTTTGTTGAAAATAAGGAACAATTATTATCTGATTCATGATTTAGGGTCCTGTTACAAAATATACAACTGCAATTCTGTATACTTAGGAAATTTTTACAGACAGAAAGTGGTGACTAGAAGATATATCTCCTTTCAGATTACTTTGGTTAACTAATGTATCAACATGGTTCTAATAACTGTAAGCCCTTTCCCAGAGTTCAGTTTATTTTTCACCATTTTATGTGCATGATGTGTGTGTCTGTATGAACGTAGATGCACATGTGCACGTGTGCATATGAACAAGATAAACTTGATTGGGTGACTTATGAAAATCAGTTCTATTTGTTTATAAGCACATTATTTTGTTAAATATATGATACAGGAAAATAAATTCTGGACCTTTCTTATCAGGCCCTAGTGAATCCACAAGTGTTCATTTGATTTAGGTAGATATTTAAGACAATCATATAAATTTCTATTGGTGCTCAGCTAAATTAGGCATATCTAAAGAGACTCTCTTTAATATCATGCCTAAGTTTAGTTATATGAATTCGTTTTGATAAATTGTGTGTGGCAGTAATTGAAAAAAACATTCATGACCTTCCTTTTTCAAAAACATAATTTTAGGAAAAGCCAAATATTTTCCACAGTGGCTGATGTGTGACTTTTTTCAGTCATAGATATTTCAACAAGTATCTTTACTTAATATATTTATATTTCCCTGTTTTGAATATATAATTCTTAAATTTGTTTTTATATTTACTGCAGTTCTACTATTTAAACATATTTATAATAATAAAAAATTCTGTAAGCTTCTTGACTGGCTGAAGTAGAGTTCCCCCATGCCAACTCCTATTTCCTTAGCAGGCTATTGAAACAGAGCACTTTTAGAGAAATGCACCTTGAATTGAAAATTTTAAGAATTTTACCCAGTCTTGAGAGAATAGATGTGAATATGTTTCTGCCAATTTTAATAATAAATTTGAGCAAATCTAGATATTTCCCCCACAATATTAGTTTAGCACACTGTTAAGGGACAAGTGAAAATTCCTACTTAGCCTTTATCTGACTGGCCTGTCTTTGATTTGACATGTATTATTAACTCAGGGCTTAAAACAAAGTTAAGCTTAGTAACGAACTCATATGTTTCCCAAAACTCAACAAATGTGTTAATTGACCTCACTGTGTTATGTGTTCGAAGATGAAGGGTGGGTGGGAGGGAGGGAGGGAGGGAGGGAGAGAAAAATAGAAGAGAGAGAGAGACACTGAGAGAGAGAGACAGAGAGACACCAGCTAGGCTGTTTGGATCTGAAACCTGGCTCCGCTACTTACTAGCTGTATGATCTCAGGCAAGTTTAACCTCTTTGGTAAAACTAGGGAAAATAAGAATTTCTTTACCACAAAGTCGTGCTGGGAAGATTGTGGCTTTTATGTTAGATTAGCAGTGTCTAATCTCAATATTTGTTAACAAGCACAGGAGAAGCGATTACATCGTTGAACCTAGAATTTTTATTTTTAAGTTTGGTTTTCCTTGGCTATCAAATAATATTGCACTTTAAACAAAATGCTTTTTATAACAAGCACTAAATTTTATTTATTCATCATCTTAGGTTAAACATATTGCTGAGGATCCTCCTTGTAGTTGTTCTCATCGATTTTCTATTGAGTATTTGTCTGAAGGACGGTACCGACTAGGGGATAAAATACTCTTTATAAGAGTAAGTCCATTATTTACATTTTATTTACACATAAATACTGTTTTGAAATTGGACTTATTGTTTCACTAACCTTTTGCTCCCCTTTTACTTTTAAAAACATTGGAAAAGATGCTATTAATGGAAGGATTTCACTGTACAAGGAAAATGGAGTAATTTCTTTCATGAGTATATGATGAATTTAGGTAAACACTCATCACACAGCAAACAACTAACTTCAGGATAGCTAAGATTATTTAGACAGTGAATATAATAGGGGAAAAATCCTTGTATACCTCAAGGAACTTATTTCTCAAATTTTCTTAGAAAAAGGAATTTTCCATCATAAGAAGAAAAAACAAAGCATCTAATAAGATTGAGTATCCATAGTAAAAAAAAAAAAAAAAAAGAACTGTACAGTTTATAATAATACAAGCCTTGGACATTAAACAGAAAATATTTTTCTCATTGACACAGAATCAGTATGTATACCAGTATGCTGATACATATTTTCATTTCCCTCCTTTGTCCTATCTACAGTTGATTAATTGTTCCTTTTGCTGGTAAGGAGATTGAAATTTCACCTGTTCATCATCCTTTCCACTTCTCATACAGAAGCTGGCTTATTTCCAATTTAGGAAAATAATATAAAAGTATTTAAAAATATAATTTCACCATCCATATTTTCTTCTATTTCACGTATTATTATTACGTCCTCAGCCCCACCTAGCTCATACAGAAACATTTACATGCATTTTCTTTTAATTAGCTTTCTGTTTTAAAGCAGTATGATGTGGTAGTACACAGAGCATAGGACTTAGAGTTAAAATTTGTGGGTAATCTCATACAGTTGTGCAGATTTGCCTGCTGAATGGACAGGGCCCTAAAACCCAACTTGAGATATATTGGCAGAGCCAGGATATCTTATTTTTAGGATGCAAGTTATATGTAAATACCTTTCTTACAAATAGGAAGATTTTTTTTTTTTTTGAGACAGAGTCTCGCTCTGTCGCCCAGGCTGGAGTGCAGTGGCGCGATCATGGCTCACTGCAAGCTCTGCCTCCCGGATTCACGCCATTCTCCTGCCTCAGCCTCCCGAGTAGCTGGGACTACAGGCGCCCGCCACCACGCCCAGCTAATTTTTTGTATTTTTAGTAGAGACGGGGTTTCACCTTGTTAGCCAGGATCGTCTCGATCTCCTGACCTCATGATCCGTCCTCCTCGGCCTCCCAAAGTGCTGGGATTACAGGCGTGAGCCACCGCGCCCGGCCCACAAATAGGAAGATTTTGTATCGTTAGTTGCATAATTCGATGTGAGTTAAATTTATTATATTAATAACGAGAAAGAAACTGTCAATTTGTAGTGAGGCTGTTGGCAAATGCTCTGAATTTCATAGATCACAGACATCACATATTGTAACTGCTAATGAATTGTAACTGTAAATCTCACAGTATTACAGCTTTACTTTTTATTTTCCTTTTGGGGGCAGATGCTTCATGGAAAACATGTCATGGTTCGCGTTGGTGGAGGCTGGGATACTCTTCAAGGATTTTTGCTTAAATATGACCCCTGTCGAATATTACAGTTTGCCACACTGGAACAAAAAATTTTAGCATTTCAAAAAGGAGTTTCTAATGAAAGTGTACCTGATTCGCCCGCCAGAACACCTCAGCCTCCTGAAATGAATCCTTTGTCAGCAGTTAACATGTTTCAGAAACAAAATTCAAAACCCAGCATGCCAGTTCGTATTCCAAAAAGCAAGGAAAAACAGGGACGTCCACCAGGTGCATTGGTACCACCATCTTCACTGAAAGGAGGTAATCTGGGCCCTATGTCAGTCCGTTCTAAATTGCCAAATTCTCCCGCAGCATCATCTCATCCCAAGCTCAAGTCTTCAAGAGGCATAACAAAGAAACCGCAGCCTCCTTCAAACAATGCATCATCTTCACTTGCTTCATTAAATCCAGTAGGTAAAAATACTTCTTCACCAGCTTTATCAAGAACTGCACCTTGTATATCTGAGTCACCAAGAAAATGTATTGCATCCCCCAGTACCCCTAAGGCCAAGGTTATTCCAGCCCAGAATTCAACAGATCTGCCTGAGTCCACACTTTTGCCAAATAAGTGTTCTGGAAAAACTCAACCTAAGTATTTGAAACATAATCATATTTCTTCCAGAGATAGTGCAGTATTTCACTTAGCTGCACATTCAAATTCATCCTCAAAGTGTCCTAAGCTACCTAAAGCAAATACACCTGTAAGACCTAAACCTTCTTTCCAGTCCTCTGCAAAAATGACAAAATCCAGTTCCAAAAACATAGCCACGGGTCTAGGAACACAGTCTCAACCATCCGATGGTGCCCCACAAGCAAGGCCAGTCCCAGCACAGAAACTTAAATCGGCCTTGAATTTAAATCAGCCAGTTTCCGTGTCCTCAGTTTCTCCTGGAAAAGCTACACAGAAATCAAAAGATAAGAATATAGTTTCAGTTACCAAAAAGCAGCCTCAGAATAAAAGTACTTTTCAGAAGACAGAACCCAGCTCCTCGAAGTCTCCTGGCCGAACCCCACTGTCCATCGTGAGCCTTCCCCAGTCTTCTACCAAAACACAAACTGCGCCGAAGGCAGCACAGACTGTCGCTAAGGGCCAGCATTCAACTAAAGGGCCTCCCAAAAGTGGCAAAACCCCAGCTTCAACCAGGAAACCACCCTTATCTGTTAAGGATGCAGATAGTGGAGATAAAAAACCTACTGCAAAGAAAAAGGAAGATGATGACCATTATTTCGTCATGACCGGAAGTAAGAAACCTAGAAAATAAATACATAGTCATTATAAAAAAAGAGAAAAAGAAGAGTGAATGTGTCAGCTTCACATCTTAAAAGTTTCTCCTGTTTGTGTCTGTGTAAATAGGTGCAGACACTAAGGATAGTGAGGATGGAGGTTGGGATGAGGAAAGGGTTCATCAGAATTCACATGTCTGAATTCAGAAGGAGCCCTTCTGAAGCAAACAGTTGTAAAATCACTGCAAGGTTTTTATTAATAAGAGACATGTATATGATTTTCAGTCTATAGCATCTTTGTTAACATCTGCCTGTTGCAGGAAATGTAAAAGTTACTTAACACTACAAGAATTTTAACAATAGTTGCTCTATTTTTGAATATGTATTAAATATGGAGTTCATATACCTGCTAATATCAACGATGGTGCTCTTACTATTAGGTCATTGCATTTTGGTTTAAAAACAAACAAAACAAAAAAAAACAACGGTTTGGCACTTGTCCCACAAAAGGCATCTAATTTAATGTTCTGATCAGAATTGCCTGATCCAACAATACTAAGTCATGACTGCTGCTGACTAGCTTGGCATTACTCTGTGTTAGGCAGAATTCTTATTATTTATTTTTTTTAAGCTTTCCAAATCGGAAGGAACTGATTGTTTCACGTGGCTTATATTTACATTGGTAATATTTTGTCAGCAATATTTTTGGTAAAAAAAAAAAAAAACACAAAAAAACAGCAAATTAACTTACTGAAGTATAAACAAACGTTAACAATTTTTTATATTATCTATAAAAACTTAGACACCTTATATTTCACATGTTGTGCAATGTGACGGGAAACTGGTTTAGTAGCTTTTAGCATATTAAAAATAATTTTTATAATGTAATTTCCTATAAGTGCAAATCTGACATTTTACATTACAATAATGTGAAACATCAGAATTATGTTTTAACAACTTTAAAATTAAGATGATACTGAAATAATTGTTATGCTATGTAAAAATTGTATCATGACATTCTACCATGAAAAATTCTTTAAAAAATTAAAGAATTTTTCTCTAGATAGCATAATACCAATTTTAATTAATTTCTTCCAACTAGGTTAATTTTCTTTAATAAAGTTATGCTGCCTTCAGTTTTCCAATGGCAAGTAGACAAGATATGTTCAAGGTTTTCTGCACTGTAGGCACACACCCTCAAGAGGCATATCCTGATCATGTAATGACTGCATAAACTCCATCGACCTAAGGTGATACTTGTAAATAATTTATTTTTAAGGAATGGTGACTATTTAAAAATTGTTAATGTACTTTGAGAAGTTTTAAGAGTGTTTTTAATAACTTTACAGTATTGTCAGTTATAGGTTATTCAGTATTCAGGTTTGTGTTTCTCTGTTTTAAACTAAAATGTGTTTTCTAAAGAAAAATATAATAGTTTACACAAATGTACAATCATAGAGTAAGCATTTTAAGCTGGCTACTAATGTTCTATAGATTACAAAGCAAGAAAACTTTCCATAAAGATAAGTGATCTTTTGCCTGAAGAGTACAGATAAAAAACAAAGATGTGTGCAGGCAAAGATGAGTGCAAGGGAGAACTGATGCTTCTCTTCTTTAAAGAGACAGTCACCAAATACTTGGTTTAGCTCAACTGTTGACTTGGGCATTGAGAGAGATGATAGATACATCTTTGGAAAGTGAAGTCAATGTTCAAGAGGTGCTAGAAGCTTTACTTTTTAGTGATCAGAAATATTTAATGCATCTTTTCAGACAGGAAGAATTCTATCAAGTATTCCCTTATAAAACCAAATAACACTTCTTCATCAGTAACTTTTAGAACTTAAAGCAAAATGTACATGGAATTGTAGTCAACCTATGAATCCTAGTAGATTTTACAATATGTAATTTATGTTGTTTACAGTATATAAACACTAAGGTTTGTGTTGAATGTGATCAGGAATAAAAGTATCCCACAGGCATCTGACAAAAATTCCAGAATTAACCAAAGAATTATTTATTTGAGGTTGGGCAATCCCAGCATTTTGGGAAGCCAAGGTGGGTGGATCACGAAGTCAAGAGTTCGAAACCAGCCTGACCAACATGGTGAAGCCTCTTCTCTACTAAAAATACAAAATTAGCTGGGCATGGTGGCACATGCCTGTAATCCCAGCTACTCAGGAGGCTGAGGCAGGAGAATCGCTTGAACCCAGGAGACGGAGGTTGCAGTGAGCTGAGATTGCACCACTGCACTCCAGCCTGGGCGACAGAGAGACTCCATCTCAAGAAAAAAGAAAAAAAAAGGTTTATTTGAATAATTGGAAGTCAGTTTATACATTACTATTTTTCAACAGTAGGGAATTTCTCCAATTACATTCATGTTGAATGAATTTTTATTTATACGTAGCTTACCCTTCCAAAATAAAAGTGGGTTTTGTTTTGTTTTGGTGTTGTTTTGTTTTGTTTTGTTTTTTGAGATGGAGTTTCGCTCTTGTTGCCCAGACTGGAGTACAGTGGCACAATCTCAGCTCACTGCAACCTCTGCCTCCTGGGTTCAAGCGATTCTCCTGCCTTAGCCTCCTGAGTGGTTGGGGTTACAGGCATCCACCACCAGGCCCAGGTAATTTTTTTTGTATTTTCAGTAGAGATGGAGTTTCACCATGTCGGTCAGGCTGATCTTGAACTGCTGACTGCAGGTGATCCACCTGCCTGGGCCTCCCAGAGTGCTGGGATTACAGGCATGAGCCATCACGCCTGTCGAAAAGTTTTGTTTGAATAAACAATATCCGAAAGACAATTCGTTTCTTCAGATATATTTTGAAATTCTCCTAGAGAGCTAGTGTTTCTAATAATTTTCACAATTTAAAAACAGCTTTTACACTGTTGAAGCTGGGAAAACTTTCCATCTCTTCTTAATAGTGCAAGATATTGTAAATTCTTTTCTGTGTTTAATGTTTAATGAAATGAGTATTAAACTTAAATTACTGAAGTACCTGGGAGAAGTAATGATGTGTACTTTCAAAAAAATGGAAAATGTTTTTATTTTTATTTGCTATAATTTGTTAACATGACTGATACGTAAAATTAAACTTTGGAGCACAATGAAATGCCGCTTATTTTTACCTTGTTTGGGCTTAACGTAGGTATTTAACGTTTATGTCTTCAAAATGCCTTGATAAATTAGATAATCTCTGACTTTACTGTCCATATGGAGTTTGCCATTCTTTATGGATAAGAGAATTTAAGGAAAAATTACTGCTCTTTCTTCAGTCTTTTTATATCTATCTGACTTAAAATCTGTTACTTTATTAAAAGGCTTCAACAGGTTGTTAGGATGTATTCTTACATGTAAGAATAGGATGTATTCTTACATGTAAGAATAGGATGTATTCTTACATGTAAGAATAGGATGTATTCTTACATCCTAACAACCTGTTAGGTTCACATAATGACCCCATTTGAATCCAAATTTGTGTATATTCTTTTCTTATGCCAGCAGTATTTGTATACTGTTTTAACTTACGTTTGTTCTCTTGAGTATTAAAATTTAAACATATATACCAAGGTCTCAGTTTCTTTTTTGGAGTATTCTGAATACACTCTGATCACTTAATTCATGTTGGAAATTGCATATAGGAAGCATTCATAATTTGAGAAGAATACTATTTAAAATGCTTTCTTTTTTTTTTTTTTTTTTTTTTTTTTGAGACGGAGTCTCGCTCTGTCGCCCAGGCTGGAGTGCAGTGGCGTGATCTCGGCCCACTGCAAGCTCCGCCTCCCGGGTTCACGCCATTCTCCTGCCTCAGCCTCCCGAGTAGCTGGGACTACAGGCGCCCACAACCGCGCCCGGCTAATTTTTTGTATTTTTAGTAGAGACGGGGTTTCACCGTGGTCTCGATCTCCTGACCTTGTGATCCACCCGCCTCGGCCTCCCAGAGTGCTGGGATTACAGGCGTGAGCCACCGCGCCCGGCTAAAATGCTTTCTTTATATTTGTGGAATTTATTTCACTGCACCCAGGAGATTATAAGGCTTTGTCATTAATCAACAGTATTTCTTCCCCAAGTTGCTGTATATGCTGGATGTTTGTTCCAGAAAGACCAGACTCAACGTTTAATAATCTTTGAGATAATAGAGATAATTTGTTGGTTATCAAGGTAGAATTCTATAGATCATACAAGCATCATGTTCACCAAAGATGACTGATAGTAGGAATTTCCGATTTTCAATTCCTGTAATCCTGTTTTAATTTCACACTTTGATATAGTGAATATATTCTTGCATACTCATCTTTTTCCTACATTCATGACCAGAGCAATTATAAAAAGCAGTTAATTCCATATATATTTCCTGTGACGTTTCCAAAAAAGGAAAGAAAAACAGCTTAGACAAAATTTTAATTATATTTTCCTAACCCTTTGTAAATGTAAAATTTTATAACCTAAAATTCATTTTATGAAATTTTGGGTAACATTGGGAAAGTTATTTATTTATTTATTTATTTATTGTTATTGAGACGGAGTCTAGCTCTGTCACCCAGGCTGGAGTGCGATGGCACAATCTCGGCTCACTGCAACCTCTACTCCCCAGGTTCAAGTGATTCTCCTGTCTCAGCCTCCCCAGTAGCTGGGGTTAGAGGCGTGTGCCATCACGCCTGGCTAATTTTTTGTGTTTTAGTAGAGATGGGGTTTCACCATGTTGCCCAGGCTGGTCTCGAACTCCTGAGCTCAAGCAATCCACCCACCTCGGCCTCCCAAAGTGCTAGGATTACAGGCGTGAGCCACCGTGCCCAGCCTGGGAAAATATTTAAAATGTGCCAGTAAGTCTGAAAATATAAAGGCACACATTTTATTAAATTTAAGCTGTTTTCTTACACTGTTTTGTTCTTGTAGAAAAACACAGTAAGACTTGAGGAAATAGTACATGCAAAGATTTGGTTATAAGGATATTAATTATAAAATATTAATATTGGTATAGCTATAAAATAACAGTCATTAAAAACATTGTAGACGATGACTTATCTTAAAAGTAGTACATATGGTGATGAAGTGGTTTGTTTTGAGAAACTGCAGTGATAAAACATTACATAATATTTCTTCTGCATTCAGCCAGGAATAGCACAGTACTTGTTACATCGTATATGGGCTCAATAAAGGTTATCTATTAACCTCTTGTGGGCAGTCTTTTAGTGTTTCATATCATACATTAATATGATTTTCTTAAATTACTTTAGGTAAATTATTGGAATGAACAAATAGAATAGAATGAATTAGAGTTGCGTATGACTGTTGACTTCTAGTAGTGAAATGTGGCAGTGTTAAAACTCTAGTTAATCTACTCAAACCATCATTTTTATTAATACCTACTGATTTCTATTCTGGAAGATAGAGGAATAAGTCATATTCAAGAACCTTGGATTTATATAGCACTTTGCAAGTCACAAAATACTTGTAATTACATAATATGCAATCTTTCCAACAATTCCATGAGATGGGTATTATCATTAGAATGTAAGCACCAGGAAGGTAAGAATTACATCTGTTTTGTTTACCACTGTGCTCCCAAAGCCCAAACCAGTCCCTGGCACTTGGTAGGCATTCAGTAACTCTTTGTTAATAAATGAATGAACTCCCTTTTTACAGATGAGGAAACTAAGGCTCAAAAAAGTTGTTAGTCAATTTAAAAATACCTACTGGGATAGATTAATTGGATTTTATTTAAAGGATGATTT